TCTCATATTTAATTAGTAGTAACCTTCGCACTGTCGCACACTGGTTCGTTGTGACCAAAAACGTCCTAAATTTATTTTATCCAAATAATTCAAAATGGGTTATTTTACATTCCTAAATATCTATACACACATAATCTGAACCCCTTTTAATTTTAAATAATATAAATGCCTCATTCAGAACCTCGTAATTAGTGGAATAAATTAGTGGTTTCAATTAACGTAAAAGTTTGTCTCATTAATATAAACAGTGTTGTTCACAACCCAAAAATTAGTGGTGGTACTTTTCAATTAGTGGAAAAAGTTTGCAAACTCCAAACATTTACCACTAATTATAATTGGAAAGCGGCTTTGCGCATGTGCAAAAAGTTTTAAAGATTTGCCAGGGAAGGTAAGGTTATATAAATATTATTATAATGGTTGTAAAAAATATTATTTTATTATAATTAATATTGTTTATGTCAGGTTAAGAAGAATGGACAATCTTTTGACAAATTCCCTTAATTTTAGATGTTAATTTTGCGCATTGTGAATGATCGTTTTGTGTTAATTATAAGTATAATTGAAACCACTAATTTTTTCCACTAATTACGAGGTTCTGAATGAAGCTTAAGCCTCATTCAGAACCTCGTAATTAGTGGAATAAATTAGTGGTTTCAATTAACGTAAAAGTTTGTCTTATGAATATACAGTGTTGTTCACAACCAAAAAATTAGTGGTAGAACTTTTCAATTAGTGGAAAAAGTTTGCAAACTTCTAACTTTTACCATTAATTATAATTGGAAAGCGGCTTTGCGCATGTGCGCGGATATTTTATGTCAAAAGCAAAAAGTTTGAAGATTTGCCAGTGAAGGTAAGGTTATATAAATATTATTGTAATGTTTGTAAAAAATATTATTTTAATATAATTAATATTCAAAAAAGTTGATCTCTGGTTTGAGAGATTGGACTTATATTTTTTCTTCCCCAACTTTTTTGAATTGGTATCTACTCTCATTATGGATTTCATACATAAAGTATAATTAATATTGTTTACTTGTCAGGTTAAGAAAAGTGGACAATCTTTTAACAAATTCCCTTAATTTTAGATGTTAATTTTGCGCATTGTGAATGATCGTTTTGTGTTAATTATAAGTATAATTGAAACCACTAATTTTTTCCTCTAATTACGAGGTTCTGAATGAGGCTTTAGTTAAACGTAATACTCATCGAAACTGGAATTTTTTATAAATTAATCGGAAATGTCGCTGTTTGTTAACAAAACGTTTGGTGCTTTTTTTGTTAAAAAAAACGATACAATCGGCTGGTGCTGTGGTTGTTTAAAGTAAATATAAGAGTCTTTAAAAGGATATTTTTTTTATTAAATAAACCTAGGGTGTTTTTTGCATAGCTTTTCTAATTAGAGTCTAATAAATAACGTTTGGTTTGGGAATGTTACTACCTCAAAATATAGGTATTGTAGAGTCGACACCAGAAATTTCATAGCCGTTTTCACCCGTATAGGTTGGTGGTAAATTTTAGAAACTGTTGAACACCCGGATTTACAGTTTATTGCCTGTTGGGCGTGTTGTACACAATGTTGAATGTGCAAACTGAAAATACATCAAAAGCGATTATTTTCATAAACATTTTATTTTAATTAACATATAATTAAAAATACCAAGCCAAATATTATAATTGCAAAATTTACTAGTTACCTAAAGAATAACATTTAAATAAGTTACATTATTAAAAAACTACCTTTAATCTCTAATTAAAATACCTTACAAATAACAAATAAAAATAGTGCAAAATGTATTACCTGATTGCATTCTTTAATCATTTATATAATTATGTAGGTTATCATACTACCCTTAAATAGCCGATTTGAAAAAAATATATTTAGTTTTATTTTACGTTTTGAAATATGGCAGAATTAGTGATTCCTTACGGCAAGTTGTGTGAAATATTGTTTAGAAGTGGTTGCTCTTTAGATCAGGGATTAAGAGAAAGCTATCCACATATAGGGAAGGACAAATTATGTGATGCAGTTGACTAAATAAAAAAGAGATTTTTACCAAATTTCAAACTTTTTAAAACGATTCGAAGACTGGTTAAAGGGTGAATTTATTTGTATAGTTGTAAACGTGATAGGCAGGCAAAAACTCATCAATGCAGCCGCTTCGTCATCGCAAAAAAAAATGAAATGGTTCAGTACTGGATCCTGATTCTGCGTTAGCCCTGATAACTTGTTCAAATACCATCAAGGCGATGAAGGAAACAGGCCACAATATATTTACAAGCTATGTAAAAGTACTGGAAGCTAAAAATAATTGCTATCCAAAGAACATAGAAATAACTGAAACTTCGGCCAAAGTTCCATTGCAAGATTTACTTGACCATTCAGTAACAAGAATTTTCGAATCGCATTCCGGATGTCAGACCTGGCCACAAGAAGTTGTGGGGAATGGATGGGGCTTCTGGTCAAAGTGAATTCAAGCAAAGTTTTTCAGACGAGAGTAGCGTTGCATCTGATTCTCATCATAGCGGCCGGCACAGACATTTGGAAGAATACGCGTCCGTCCTCAACGAACTGACCAGACTTGAGAAAAATCGCGTTGAGACTAAAATCTCGAAATTATCAGACACCTTGAATAAAAAAAAATTCAAAAATATTTTTCAAAGGGTAGAAAATAATGGAAAACTTTTGGCCAGATCGAAAGGGGTCGGGTTCAAAAGTGGTCGATTTGGCATGGAATACCCCATATATATGTGTGAAAGTATGTGAATGTTAAATATTATATTTTACTATTTATAAAATACAATAACATGTTAATTTATACATCATGTAGGCTCCATGTTATACATGAGGGGGGCATTCCAAAACTCGGATTATCCATATTAGGTGATTTTGAGCAAAATATAAAAAACCTTACACGCATATTAGACCAACAGAATACTTTAAACTAAATATATAGGCATAAGTATAACATTTATTTAACTTGATTAAAAAGGTATAGCTCCAATTTGAAATAATTTAAAATTACATACGTATAAGCCGAGTTCTGCATGATATAAGCAATAGATAAGGCAAGTTTTGGAACGAAAGTCAATTTTTAAATAAATTTTAAATGGAATAAGGTAAGTTTTACAATAATCTAATCTTTTCAGGGCTACATGTTTAATGTTCAGACACCACTAACTCAATTTTATTAAAAAGTGGTTAAGCTGAGTTTTGAAATGGACCTCCTTACATATTTATATTATTTGTCAAATATGAAAATTAAAACCATCCAAAGCACACTTGTGACAATACACATAAGTTAAATTAGCGCTCTTTAACATTTTCCGTAATATCTTTGTAAATATTCATTTTAGCTATAGGTTATCTATGCTCAGGGCCATTCCTTACGCAGGCGCAACATTATGGGGGCGCAAAATCAAAGGGTCAATCAGTACTTTGTAACGATAAACTTTTTTGCAAACAAACAAATACAGTAGTCTACACAGTGCATGACTTTGTAACGAGCTTACGTCACTCAAACCAGGTGTAGTTATTTTATTGTTTATATCACAGTTGTTGGTCTGTGGTTTATATAGTTTTTTTTGTTTTCTTTAGGGTATTTTATTACTAAATATTTTTTGGTGGTTTTGTTTGTTGGTTGGTAATTTAATAAATAGTTTTTATACTTAATTTCAGCAGTTTTTTTTACATTTCCAATTACACATTGCAAGTTTGTGGCAAAATATATATTTTTTTAAATTTTAGGGCTTAAAATTAAAATATTTAATGTTTTTATTTAAATATAAAAGGGCCGCACCAAAGAATGCTGCACGTAGGTGCCAGAAACCCCAGGAACGGGCCTGCCTATGCTACAACCTATACATAATTATTTATTAAATAAATTTTATTTTAAAATATATAAATAAAGAATAATAATAAGAAAGTAAACTGGAAATACCAAACATTTTGGAATATTATTTATATACAGTGTGACCCATTTGTTTGCGACTCACCCCACAATCTTTATTTATTATGCGATTTTAACCGGATTTGTTTTAAAGTGTAGATCTTGATAAACTGTATTTTTGAAGCTAAAAAGGCCATATTTTTACAAAATACAAGGCCTACTATGTCAATTTTTAAGAGTAAATTTTTAAGAATTCATATTAGCAATTTTTTTAAACAAAATCTAAGCACGGCACTGGATTCACCATCCCTCAAAACGACCCTATACTAAATTTTATTGAAAAATTTAAAGTAGAAAAATGCACAATAATAAAAAGAAAAAATCTTTTGTCAAGTTATCCATGAAAAAACATTGAAATAAAAAAAACTAATAGTAACATGGTATTATTACTATAATGTTTTTTCATGGATAACTTGACAATACATTTTTGTGGTTTTTATTGTGCATTTTTCTACTTAAATATTAGTAAGGGGTCGTTTTAAGGGGTGGTGAATCAAGTTCCGTGATTAGATTTTGTTTAAAAAATCGCTAATATGAATTCTTAAAAATTTACTCTTAAAAACTGACACAGTAGGCTTTGTATTTTGTACTAATATGGCGTCTTTTGCCCCAAAAATACAGTTTATTAAGATCTACACTTCAAAACAAATCCCGTTAAAATCGCACATTAACTAAAGACTTTACAGGGGTGAGTCGCAAAAAAATGGGTCACACTGTAAGTATATATTTTATTATTTGTTAAACTGTATACTTTTCAACATTACAATTAAAAAATTAAATATCTTAAAAACAATTGCTTTAGAATTTTATTAATATTTATAAAGTTGCATTTGAAAAAACCATTTCAACCAGAAGTGACAGCGCATTAAAAATATTTTAGAAAAATAGATCACATTGTGCTATAGCTGCAATCAAAATTTCAGATTGAAGTCTCTTTTGCTCACTCTTTTGATTCTTTATAAACCTCTAATGAATCAGTTAGGTGAATTTTCCTGTTTTTTGGTTTTATTATCCCTGTTTAATGCAGGTTATTGTAAGAAAGTTGTAACTTACATTATTATCCTTATGATGTATCAGTGCATTGAGAGCTGGCAGAATTTCTTCTATTGTGGCAATTGGTGGTGGAGGATCCTTGTTTCTACACAAATTTACAATAACCCAAGTCACATTCCTTAAGAATGATATAGGTATATCAGGCTTAATAAAGGATAATAAAGGTTGAACCACTCCAAGTTCAATAACATAATCTCTTAATACTGGCCCATCTCCAATAATGTTACCCAAAGCCCATACTGCCTGTTCGCAAACATTTTGGTGAAGTGAATGCAATAAATGTAAGAAGAGTGGAACTGCCCCAGCAGTGACCACTTTGTTTGTTTGTGCTGAAGTGCCTGAGGCAATATTTGTCAATGCCCATGCAGCTTCGAATTGTAGAGCTGGATTTTCTTGATGTTCCAAACATTTAATAAGAATAGGCAAAATACCACTGGAAATGAGAGCATCTATAGGTGGATTGCGATCAGAAGATAATAATTTTCTAGCTGATTGTACTGCCATTAGCTGAAGTTGTGGGTTATCAACAGCAGCTGCTTGAGCAACGAGTTGTTCTAAGTTTGTATTAGAAAGTGACTTTTCAATTTCATCTTCATCTGTGGAATCAGCAAATGGTACATTTCTTCTTTTTTGAAGAGTCTCCTCCCGTTTGTTTTTCCTAAGCTCCACCGTGACTTCATTTCTACGCCTTCGCATTTCCTAGAATAAATGGTCCAATGTTTAAACAATGGGACACTAACCTAATCAATAACACTACATAAATTTACACGTATTTTATATTATTTTCACAAAATGTTTTCCAGTTTATCTTTATTTTTAAAAAGCAAGGCATATTTTTAAAGATATTATTTAAATTTTTATTTTATTATGATATTTTGACATGTGTATAGTTTGACCTTTAAATTGGTAAAAATATAAAATTAGAAATGAGATCCAGAAGTTATCTATTGATAATCATAATAAACGTTATAAAGCCGGTAAAAAATATGTTTTTAGTACTTACATCTTGATCTTTTCCTTTGTTCTTGAAATTTTGAATACGACTCTTATAACCAGGATCCGCCATTTTTAATTCAAAATTTGACAGTGCAAGCACGAGGGAAAAGCCGGTTATAATCGTATAATATTTTTATGCTATTTGTTGTTTTTTACATGTAGGGTATTATGCCAAAATAAAAAATTAATAAACAAAAAACAATTACAATTAATAATTAAAATAACAACTGTTTTATAAACTTTATAAACTCATTCACTTTTCGTTATCTAGTGTACATACATGCTTTATCATTATCTACAGTTCAACAAATACAAACTTTTTATAAGGAAAATATATTGTTTTCAAATCCAATAAAACATATTTAATTAATTTTTGAAAATAAGAAAGAAAACAAATTTGAATTTCCCACAATGAATTGTATGTCCTTGACTGGATGAGCCATCTACAGACGAAATTTATAAACTAATTCTCCCTGTGATGTCTGAAAATATTTTTAAGGGTGGGAGAATTATTATTTGTATGGAATTAAATGGTTGTCTTAACACCAAACACTTATGAATTTTAAAGGAATATGTCCAGTCTGAAAATCGGTAAGTGATTGTCTACTAAATACCCAATTTTTATCTACTCTTACAGATAAAATAAGGTCCCACCCCCAATATTAGAATATCTTTTGCACCCGGTGAAATACGCTTCCTCTATAGAGGAATAGGTATATGCAAACTTTTGTTAATACATATGAGTCACTAGAGATATTTGTGAACTCTGTAAAGTTTGGTTTATATTCCATAAAAAATCTTAACTTTGATAAACAGGGCCAATAGTGAACAATTATAGTCGCAGCATGTAGCATTTACTTAAATATGTCAACTTTTTAGTATGTTAACTTAAAATTTGTAAACATTGTTTCTGTTGTAGTTTAGAGGCATGTATGTGAGCTAGCACTAGCATGTTGGAAACTAGATCTCTTCATGGTATGCCAGAACCTTCATGGCAATCTAGATCTAACTGCAGAGTAAACGTACCACCACATCAAATGGCAACACCAAATGCAAGACATGGTATGTTATTTTTTTATTAAAAAAAGGTTAAATTAGCTTACAGTGTAATAAAAAAATAGTAAGTGTTATAAAATGCCATTTTCTTAAAAACCAATTATGTAGATTAGTAATTTATATCTTTTTTATTTATTTTAATTACATATCCATTTTTATAATTGACAGTATTGTTTGTATCATGTGACAGTATTATGTTATTTATGTAATATGCAAGATTTGTCACACTGGTGCTTTTTAGTTAAATTCATCAATAATAAGATTTCTTAAACCACCCTACAAACCATGTTGGCCCAAAAGTTGATACTCAATGTCAGTCACTATGGCCATAGAAAAACCATAGCCCCGGGGTCCGAGGATGGCGCAGTGGGTTAGGCTACAAAGCTGTGCAATCTGCGTCTAACGGTACCGGGTTCGATTCCCGGTCACAGCCCTGGGTGTTGTGATTGTTTATTAAGACAAAAATACATATAATGTGCTGGCTAAATAGGCTGAAAAAGCCTAAAAGCCAATAAAACTTAAAAAAAAAAAAAAAACCATAGGCCCATCATTTTCATTGTCAGTCGACAAAAAGCTTGACATTCTGTACCGACAAAAACTGTTGCTTGTATATGTATATTAGAGTGAGCCAAAAAAACTAACCTATCGGATTTATGGGTTAAAATGAACCTACATACCGAGCAAAAAATTTCCCTGCAAGGCAAAATTTTTTGCTCAATTTTAAAAGGTGTCGGTGAGCATTCTAAGTTTTCCATTGAAATAACACGTAAAAAAATCTTTTTTCATTAAAAAGACTATAACTTTTGAACCGTTTGAGATAAAATTTTTTACGTCGCGGATTCTTGTAGAGCATAAAATTTCCCAAAGAATCTATACCAGGATTATTTTTTTTTCAAAAATTCGTATGTTTGAAAGCTTTGAAAAGTGTAAAAAATCACTAAAACTGCAGTTGGTATGTAGGTTCATTTTAACCCATAAATCCGATAGGTTAGTTTTTTTGGCTCACCCTAATGTATATGCAGAGCTGACCAAGAACTGAGTACTTTTACTCATATTTTAATTATGTATTTTTCATTTAAAATACTTATTACTTAAAAACCAAATTCATTGTACTCGTAAAAAATACTTGTGGAATTCACGAGTAATAGGTATATACCTACGAATATTTCAGTTTATTAAAAGTAAGTAAGTAAGTAAGCATCATAACATTTTGATTGGAAGTCGGTTTTAAATTATATAATTATATATATGAATATATTATATAATTTATATTATACTAAATATTAATATTTAGTATAATATAAATTATATAATATATTCAGGGCCGTACCGAGGCACACTTTTTGGGGGGGGGGTGGAGACGATAAAAAAACCAACTTATTTTTTTATCGATACTTTATTAGTAATAGTAAAAATTTTCAGTAGTTTTATCATGTATGTAAAGTGCTGTAAAGTGTAGATAAAGAATGTCTTTACCTACCATTAGCATGCTCTTTCGAAGTCGATGGGATTGATTCTGGTTCTCTATTTTTTTGATTTGCTGCCAATGTAAGTGGATTATCCGGAACAGCAACAATTTTAATTTTAACAAAATTTACACCGTGAATATTTTTCTCATGCATTTTTTTCTAGTCCATGTTAAACACAGATCCACATAATGAGCATTTTACTAGAACTCGGCCCGGTTTAGCTTTGTTTTCCATATTAAAAAAAAACTAATTCCTATTTATTGACACTAGTTTTACTAAGCTTAGATAAGCTTCAACTAAATAATAATCTAGAAATATAAGACGCCAAAAATTGCGGTGCGTAAAAAGAGTCAAACGCCGCCAAAACCAAAGACAAAGCCGCGAGGCGGTGCCGACTTTGTACATGCCGTTTGTGTGAAATATAATGTCCTTTAATAAAAATAAGGTTGACCAATACAATTTTCTTGACGGTAACGATTATAGGAGGTTACAATAGATTAAAAATTATAATTTTGTAATATGTAGGTAAAGTTTAAAAATTATATTTCATTTTATTTATTGTGATGGGTTGGTTGGTAGGGTAGGTATACCCAACCAACCGACCCAAATACTATAGATTTTGCCAACCGTGTTTGGATTTGGAACCAACTGCCAAGACTTTGGGGGGGGGTGACTCCCCCCCCCTACACCCCCCTTAGGCCCGGCCCTGAATATATTACAGCCTATAGGTTTTATAACAAGTACCTATATAGGTAAAATTATAAACTATTTAAGAATTGTTATTTTTATTTATTATTTTATGTACAGGGTGATCCCCTATAATGTCGCCCCCCTATAATTTTTGTATTTTAAGTGTCCCAAAAATTGAAAAGTGTGGTTAGGTAGGTAGGTAGGTACTAAAAAACTTTTTTTTTACGTATAAAAAAATTGGAAAATTGATCAGTATACAGGGAAAAACAAAAAGTTTATTTTTTCTCAATGGATCACCTTATATATGAATTTATTTTTCGATTCCTTGTAAAATTGTAAGCATAATTTATATAACATACCATATACCTAAATTCAATTGTTTCTGAAATATTTAAATTATTTTGAAGACAATACAATTCAGTAATATTAGAACCAATAAAATGCCAGTATTCCATAGTTACACATTTAACACAGCGACAATATTTTTTATGACCTTGTGTACATGTTACTAAGGATTTTGAAACTTTTCTTGATTTTAAATTTATTGACATTTAAATGCTGTATTTGTTATATAATTAAAATAATAAATTATAAACATTAAACGATGGATGGGTTGGTGTAAACGATAATAAAATTAAAGTAAGTTTGAATAAATAAGGTTTATTAAAGTCTTTTTATATTTTAAAACACATTTTAATTTTAAATGTCCAACTGACAAATCGTTAAATCCTAAAATTCATTATATTTTCTCACTAAATATAACTCCTGGTATGATTAATAATCGATTATAATCGATGATATTTACTTATTGCTTAAGCTTGGTTTTAATTCGAAAATTTTTACTTACTTAACAAGACATATTGACATAATGTCACTATAGTTAATTATTTTCAATAATCATTTTGTTATTCTAAGGCTTCTTGATTTGTAAAAAAATATTTGATGACAACATTCAAATGCGAATATTTCAGAAACGGTTGAAATATTGGGTTTATGGTATGTTATATGATGAAAAATAAATTTATATATAGGGTGATCCATTGAAAAGAATAATTTTCCAATTTTTTTTATAAGTGAAAAAAAAGTATTTTTTAGTACCTACCTACCACACTTTAAAAGTTTTATGGGACACTTAAAATAAAAAAGTTAAAAGGGTGGCGACAATAAATAATTTTTTCTACTTCTATTACGGAATTTGACCGTTCTAATATCACTTTTATCTTTGGAATGACATATATTCCGTAAAGTGTTACATCGGATGACGTGGCGACATCTCTGTTTTTAATATCTAACAAATTTTAGACCGATCCAACCTCACTTTCATCCAATTAAATTATTTTTCTATGGTATTTTTTGGAAACTTAGAAAAAGTATAGTCTGAAACACGTTTGGAATTGCCTTCGGCTCGTGGGACAAACTCTTCACTCGAGAGGAATATGCTGTATTCCAAACTTGTTACAGAATATACTATTATAAATTTGTATTTTTATATCTCAGGACCAAAGTATGTAGGTATAATATATAAAGAAAAATCAATTATATTGACTTACATTTTTTTTCAAAAGTACTCTTTACTCCTGTTTTCACGATTACTACTCGTAACCGTAACCTCTCTTTACAAATGTACTTAAGAGTTTACAAGTAAATATTTTAAGTACCTACTCGCAAAGATAATACACTATAATATTTGCCTACTCCTACTTAAATTTTTACGAATACTTTTTTTTAGTACTCGTGCCCAGCTCTGTGTTTATGTAATCATAGTATGATTTATTTATTTGTAATATGTGGTGGATATTGGGCAAAGCTAAATTAGTGCAAATTAACATTATTAGAGGCATTTGAGGATGGCAACGTTTGCTGTGCTGTCAAAACTGAAATGCCATTTTATAATTTCCAAAGAATCTTAAAATATATCCTATTCTAAATGGTTTAAGAGAATATCCAACAAAACTCAATCATTTTAAATTAATGGCATTATAGGCATTTTAGAACGAAAACATAGTCAAGAAGTTGCTTGAAATCCTAAAAATCTGATATTTAAGATGTTTTACAAGAATACATTTCAAGTGAATGTTACAAAAAAATATTGCAAACAATTTTCAAAAGTCAGATATCTATGCCTTTAAAAGTGTATCTCTTAGTTTATTTTATACCTACTTATAATTTATTTAAACATCAAATCAAAATAAAATTTTGGTATATTCTATACAGGGTGAGTTTTAAGTTGACGCGTTCCTTTTAACAGCGTGTAGAAATAAATATTTTAAGTAAGTTTTTTATCAAAACTCAAAAATAAGCGAGTTATAGCCCTTCAATGTTTAATTAAATTTTGAGCCGGTCCTGGCTATTGTTAACAAAAAACATAACCATAAAAATAAAAATAACAAAATAAACAATGCAAAATGTCATCTATGACAACAAACATAACCATTTAAACCAAAATTACACATTTAGCAATGCCTACAGAAATTGTTCGAAACTGTCCCCGTTGTGGTCGATACAAAGTTGCGTGCGTTGTAGCCATGCTTTTGTACATGATACACAGCTTCTTAAAGTTGAGGTTTCAAGAAAAAAAATATAGATTCTTTAAAACCTATTTTATTTTCATGTATACATTCACCTGGTTAAAATCAACATAAATTGAAAATCGGCTATGTGGAGTTTGGTGTACAGTCGGCAACAGAATAAATTACTTTACACAAAATGAAAAATTTAATAACAAAAGATAAAAATATGAATCTGAAATTTACTAAATAAATCTTTCTTGGGTTCTAGGATTGGCTTGTACTACAATGGTAATAAAAATGAGTCTTAAAGAAAACTAGAAATTTCTTACTATTACTA